TTTTAGTGGTTTATACATTTATATATTTGTATGCGAATTTCGCTTGATGAGTTTGTGAATTTTTATAAATGTGATTGAAATTCTCTTAAATTTTATTTTATTTTTTTAAATACACTAAATATAAATTTATAAATTCATTAATAATTATAATATATTTTCTTTAAATTAATATATTTTCTGATTAGCTCTTATTTTTTTAAATCTTGGTTTAATAATGTGAAATTATAAAATTAGTATATAAACCCTTTTACGTTTTTTTTCTTTTTCTGTAAAAAAAAAAAGAAAAAAGAAATACATATTAAAAAGACGTCAACTATGAGAAAAAGCAAACAGACCCATATCCCTGTAAAGAAAAACAAAATTGCAATTCTCATTTTCATCCCTTTTTAACCCATATACTCATCTCCCCTTTTAATTATAATCCTTTCATCTAAACCCAAAAGATAATCACAATCCCCCTCTTTAAACCCAATTCATTTTCAGTCAAAACCTCAACCCATTAAATCTATAGTTCGGCCCAACCATTGGCCCATTAAGAACCCATGCTCTAGAAGCGACGCGTTTGGTCCCGGGTTTCTTCGTTCAAGCTCTGCATAACTCGAGCGAGAGCAGCGAAGGCAAGCTTCTGGAGGCTAGGGTTTTGGCTTCAGGGAAGCGAAATCAAGCAGCGAGAGTAATCCTTCCGGGGAAATAGCTGAACTTCACTTACTACTGTTAAGTCTCTGATCTAGGTTTTTATTTTGTTCTTTCTCCATCGAGAATCAGAAATGGCGATCACCTCTCAAACTCCTGACATTTTAGGTGAACGTCAGTCTGGCCAAGATGTTCGCACTCAAAATGGTACATTTTCTCCATTTCATATTTCCCTCTCTTTGTTTTTCCTGTACTCGCTTGTTTCTATCGAGAACAAGTATTGTGTTGGTTCTTGTATATGAGAATAGATTTTAATTTGAGCTTTTTGTTCGGTTTATACTAATATGTTGATGGATCGACGGTATTTTGTTCTAGTGGTTGCGTGTCAAGCAGTCGCCAATATTGTTAAGTCATCACTTGGTCCTGTTGGGCTCGATAAGGTATCATGTTTATGCTAGCAATGGACTACTTTATTGCACTGAAGGAAACTAATTTTGTTATTTCTCATTAACTGTTACCTTTTTCCTCCAGTTTCTTTTAGCCGATATCTCCATTTTTTTTTTCTTCTTTTGTTAATATTTTACTACTTTATTCCTTATAAGAAGGCAAAATCTGGAACACTATAGCTTCAATGAACTTCTCGGCATTTGAGAAGTTTGATTTGTTCCAACTGCAATTAACATTTATAAAGTGGTAAAAGGAACTTACTGGGGCTATGTCTTTGTCCTAGGCGCATACTTTTTCTTTCAATCATATACTCGCCAAAAAGTTCAAAAATTTTTTTATTAAGATTTACTCTGGAAAATTGGAGATCCATCTTATTAATGTTGCCATTTTTGCTTGCTTTCTCTATCTACTCTACATATCTAACCTGAAATTTTTTACATTTCTTGATTTCAGATGTTAGTTGATGATATTGGTGATGTGACAATTACTAATGATGGTGCCACAATTCTTAAGATGTTAGAAGTTGAGCATCCAGCTGCCAAGGTGAATGCATGTCATGTTTTGGCTGGTCGTAATACCTATGTTTCATGGCATTGTTACATTCATGATTCTCTTATTGCTTGATTTTCCTTTCATCATTGTTCATGTTTGACCATTCATAATTCATCTTTTGTTATAACAGGTTCTCGTGGAGTTGGCTGAACTTCAGGATAGAGAAGTTGGAGATGGAACGACATCAGTGGTCATTTTTGCCGCGGAGTTGCTCAAGGTAAGTGCGGGAAGTATGCTTCTAAAGATTGTTGTGTTTAAAATTGCCCATTTCATACTTATTTGAATAATCAATAAACTCCAGTATTCTGTGGGATAATGCTTTCTTATCATTTTTTTTTCAGAGGGCAAATGATTTGGTTAGGAATAAGATTCATCCAACATCTATAATAAGTGGGTACCGGGTAAGAAGATATTTCCTTTATTTTGTGAAATATCTATGATGAAAAATTATATGGGGACTTTCATTCTGAACTTATTCATGGCATCTATATTTGTTATAAATGTGGACAGCTTGCGATGAGGGAAGCATGCAAATATGTTGAAGAGAAATTGGCAATGAAGGTCAGCCTTCTGCATTTAAAGATTCTTTAAAAGTGGTTGGATAGAGTGCAATCCCTTTATCAAAATATGGATTGGTAAACATGTGAAAGAAGACACTTCAATTTCATAAAAGTTAACAGAATGTTGTAAATGGCTTGTTGATGAAAAATGCCTTATGCCTAAATAAATTAGATGTTATAATTATATTAAATATAAAACTATATACTATTATGAGTCTATATTATCGAGGAGGTATAATTTTGGTAACTTAGGATTTTAATTTTTATTAGTATTTTCCTATTTATGTTAGGATTAGTATTTCTAATTCCACTAGTTTACTATTTTCTAGTTTAATCTAGTTATGAAAAGTTATACAGAAATTATTATAAATAGTTTTGTGATATCACTTTGATCATCTAAGTATTCAATAATATTTTGAGAGCTTCTCAATTTTTTAGTTGTGTGATGCAATCAAAATCATAAATTTGATACTTAAGACTTCTCAGATGTACTATCTAAGAAATTCTAGGTGTGATGTATATGTCTTTTATCCTCAAATCCCTAATTGGACAAATCAACTCTATTTGTACTATATCAATTTGATACTGGAGTTAAAAGAATTCTACATCCAAATTCCCAAACTTTACACCCAAATAATCCCAAAACCCATTTGAGAAAAAAAATTGTTGAAAAAAATCGAGAAACCCTAAAGTAGCTGCCAACCCTGTTCACTAGCCACCTGCTGGAGGTGGTCGACACTGCCACTGCTGCTAGCTCTAGAAGCTCCCTACCAACAGACCCATGCAACTCTGCTTTAAAATCCCACTAGAGAAAGTGCCACTCACTAACACGTCTTCCTTGCTATTATCTGTCTCAATCCTATATTTCTGAACAACTGTCTGACAATGACATCCAAGCTGCAACTGCCACCTCCATTTAAGACCACTAACCAAAGATTAATGTTGTGCGGTGATCGGAAGCCAGCTCGTGAACCCCAAGTGTCCACAATCTGTGAGTGAGCATTGCCAAAATGTGTTTTGACGTTTTTGAACTGGAGTTGACCAAACTGGTTCGACCAGATCGCTTTATCCTTTCTTAGACTAGTTTTTAACGAGACTCCATGTACTTTATTGGCTCTTCCTGATGCAAAATGGGCTAGTGCTAGATTTTTTAAATAAATTAGAAAATTTAATTATATTACATGTAAACTTATTATTTATTGAGGAGTCTGTCTTATGTTATTTAAGAGTATTATATTATCTCAAAAAAATTATTTAAGAGTATTATTATAGTTTTAGTAACTTAGGATTTTTATTCTTATTAATATTTTCATACTTGTATTAGGATTAATAAATCTAATATTATTAGTATTAACTTCTTCTTCTTATTAGGATTAGTATTCCTAATTCTACTAGTTTACTATTTTTTATTTTGATTCTATGTAACAAAGCTTGCTTAGAGATTTTATGAATAGCTTATAATTTCAT